TTCAATAGGACTTTTCATTCGCTCCAAAATGACATAAACTTTTGCAAACTTGTATTTTATGTTTAAGGTTATGTAAATAAAAATGTCATTGTACATATGAAAAATAATTTTGGTTTGTATTTTATATAAATCATTGAATGACATTATACTGAAGTGCACGGCATTTGTGTTTTGTGAGGGTGGATTTGAGATAATATGACTTTAAGCATACAGTGCATTTATAAGGCTTTTCTCCGGTGTGCACGACGCGTTGGTGATTTATAAGGGAATATTTTGTAGAAAAAGTATTTGAGCATATATTACATACGAAAGGCTTTACACCGGTGTGCACGCGTCGGTGTTGTGTGAGGTTAACATTTTGAGAAAATGATTGTAAACACACTTCACATGTGTAGGGCTTTTCCCCGGTATGCACGCGTTCGTGTCTTGTGAGGGTGGATTTGAGAGAAAATGACCTTGAGCACACAGTGCATTTATAAGGCTTTTCTCCGGTGTGCGAGCGTTGGTGTTGTGTGAGGTTACTATTTTGAGAAAATGATTGTAAACACACTTCACATGTGTAGGGCTTTTCCCCGGTGTGCACGCGTTCGTGAAATTTGAGGGTGGATTTGAGAGAAAATGACCTTGAGCACACAGTGCATTTATAAGGCTTTTCTCCGGTGTGCACGCGTTCGTGTTTTGTGAGGGTGGATTTGAGAGAAAATGACCTTGAGCACACAGTGCATTTATAAGGCTTTTCTCCGGTGTGCACGCGTTCGTGTTTTGTGAGGGTGGATTTGAGAGAAAATGACCTTGAGCACACAGTGCATTTATAAGGCTTTTCTCCTGTGTGCACGCGTTGGTGAAGTGTGACGTCACATTTATAGGGTTGACTAATGTTGTCCGTTGAACTTTGGTGGGATTTTAATATATGTAGAGTTATTTGTTTTTTTGTGTTATATATTTTTTGACATAAATTACATTGGAAGAACCGCCATATTGTTATATATTTACTATTATTCTTGGTTTCTGTCTGTTGATTGTTATCTGTTTCAATCTTCGATTCGAAATAACTACCGTCAGTTTTTTTATCCACTTCATTTCTCGTACCATTGTCACTACAAAAAAACATTGTCGTACAATAAATTATAAATTTTTGAAAAAAAATATTCTTTACACAATTGTTTATTATTATTTTAAAATTTAATTTGACCTTAGCAGATGTATTGAATGTACAAACCATTACTAATGACTAATTGGACATACTTAAAGACATTAAAAGGAACTAAATCGCAGAATATTGGAAGGACAAATTGAAAGCAAGAGAGGCAAAGGACGTCAGAGAACAACGGTATTCAATAAAATTAATAAAGATGCTGGACTGAGAACTTAAAGGGAACTGAAGAGAGACTGGCCAATAATAGAGAAGAGTGGAGAGAGTATGGAAGGTTAGACAGCTATTTTATTGTTAGTTCCAAAAAAAAAATGATTTTATTTTAATAATAAATAACATCTAATCTAATATATAAAATGTCAATTCAAATAGCCGACTCCCGCCAGTCGCCTAATCGTCTCTTCCATGGGATTCATATAATACATCTCGCTCATAGACAAGCATCTGAGGCGGCTTGGGCAGCGCGTGGCGTTTTTATCATGTCACAACGTTATCGTATCAAATAATAACGGTGACGGCGTGTGTTGTTTTTTTTGCCGAGTTTGTACTTTCCTTAAATTAAATTAAACGTAAAATTATTATTATTATTATTAATTACACTGTTGTTCATTGTCATACGTGTTTTTTTATTCAATAGTGTTTCCCGGTGTGTCAAACGTTATCATATATATAATAATAAAAATTAAAAACGGCGAACGGCGTGTTTTGTTTTTTTTTGGTGAATTTTTGTCTTTGTAGTTTGTTATATTATATACATACAATGATATATTAAACGTATAATAGTTATTATTAATTACATATTTGTCCGTAATTCGCTCACGGTTTTCGTTCAAGAGAAATCGACGTGTTTCCCGGTGTGCAAACATTACCTATTAATATGCGTCGTTGGATGTCGGTACGTTTTTTAGATTTAGAATATATATAATAATATATAGTATAGTAGTATATTACATTTTGCTTAAACCAAATTATCAAATTAATTAGATGTACAAAATTCTTATCTTTTTCAAACCGCTGTGCGTGGTGATAACGATACATTTCATATTTTTTGTTGAACAATTTGTTGACATATATATCTACTATTTATTTTCAATTAAATAACTTACTGACTTATTTTATAAATATGTAAATTATTTGTTTTAGGCCAATACTATAGTGAAATCATAACCGACGCGTGTCCGTTTAGAAGATTGATTGCTACTTCTATCTACCCTGTCTTTAATTAATACAATAAGTAGTTATTATTGTTACCATCGGTTACAGACTGTTATCCTATACCGTCACCGATTAATTTGCCTGCGGCCAACAGAGAACTTACACCGTAGAAGTTGATTTTTTGTATCTATCTAATCTCTATACTCAACCCTAATTTAAATTGACAGTTTTTTTTTCATTATACAGTGTCTTAACCGACTTCTCTTAACGCTTTAGTTTCTAAACGTGCACACACATACGATACTGATGTACAAATAATTAAAACATTAATTATTTCACATTTTTTTGTTAAAGCTGTACATTTATGATCACTACATAGAATACAAATAATTTTAGTTTTTTTATATATTTTTTTTTAATGATATATTATTTCACGTTAAATTGGCATTATTTGAATATATTTTAATTATTTCATTTAGTAGGATGATTTACCTATATAAATATGTATGATCACTATCGAGTACTATCACTAACCGTTTGGGGTTTTTAAAATTGTTTTTTGACTTAATTTGTGGTTTTAATATTTTAACTTTGGAAAATTCAGACATTGTAGGTAAGCTATGTGTAAATCAACAATTCAAGCTAAGAAAAATCTAATAATTGTCATTAAAGTTGAAAATATAGTTTGTATTCTTTGAAATTGACAAACATATAACTTTATTTTTTTAAATCATGTATCTGATTTCACTTTCCAGATAATTTTTTTTTAGGAAGTATTATTGTAAATTATTTAGTAGAAAAACATTTATTTACCAATCTAAAAATAACATAATACATGGATTCATTAAAAAAAAGTTTATTGTTGTTAAAATAATAATAATATATATATATATATAATGAAAAATATTTTTTTAAATAATAATAATAGTATATTTGATGCACTGAATAAAAATTGTTCAGATCTAAAAACAATCGATTTTTAGTTTTATACACCTGGGGCTACTTTTGTGTGCTTAAAATGTATATACATTATTGACATAAAATATCTATGTGTTCATTCCGCTCTAATAAGAAATAACTATATTACATGATCTAATTTATTTTAATCACATTATACATAGCAACATCTTTGCTATTGTAATCATACCAGTTTTTACTCCCTGGCTTTATAATACTTATTTAACCAACGAATAAATGCATTTTTACACAGTCTTATTATAAAAAATTTATAGGTATGTTTTTTAAAAGCATCAGCAAAAGTCCCTATATCATCTTTTTAAATTCTTAAAACAGTTGTCTTTAGATTATTTTAGCGTTCAACATTTTGTGTTCTTAGACCGTTTTTATGAGTAGTAATCAAAAATCAAAAAAATTGTCTGAACATTTATTTTTACTAACTATTTAATGTTAATTTTTTATATTATATGTATGTATATATTTTTTTTTTTGAGCTGCTGTTGATATAGCTTGAACTAAATTAGATACTTATTAATATTGACTATTTTGGTTTTTTTTTTGTGGTGTGATTTCAGACATAGGGCGTAATTAAAACATAAAAATAAAATATTAATTTCAAATCATTTTATTGCATTTTAACATTTTGAAGCATGGTGGTATAAGTAATATACCACTTTTTCAAAAAATAGCCTACTCTCGCACAGTGGTATATATTTATTACCACCTTCATAATCATATTCAGAGAAAATTGGAGAAAAAAATGCTGTGCTTCAAAGGGTTAAAATTTATATTGAAAATCAACATTTGTACAACAGCGAAGCTCTAGTACAATATATAAGTTATCTGAATCCAAAATTAGAATAGTTAATACATGGGAAATGATTCTAAATTAAATCGGAAAAATTATTTCCCTGAACTGCTGACAAATAAAATAGAAATAATGCATAACAAACTAACCTAAGAGGCCGCCAAACCATAATTTTATTAAGAAGAAAAATTTTATCAAGTCATTTTTTTTGGTTGAAATACTGTGAAATTTTAAGTGAACAAAAGCCAAAATTCATTTTTCAAATTGAAAAAATGAAAAGTTGAATTATGTATAAAGTAAAATTACTAATAAACTAAAAAACGAAAAAACAACAAATTAAAATAAATAAGTCTCGTCTACTGCCTCAACACTTTAAAACATTAATATTCTTAATCCGGGAGCCTAACTAGTAAAAGACCTGTTTCCCTAACAGACCAAAATCAAACAAAAAAAAAATTAGGTAGTTTTTTCTTTAGATTCAGTCTACATAGTCAGTCCGCTGTGAGTGCTAATGATAGCAAAACTACTCAAAAGTGTATTTCTTCTAAATATTGTATAAAACTGAAATATGTACATCAATAAGTTCTGTTTAAATGTTTACTAGATAAGAAAAATTAATGGACAGCTAGAATTTAATTATGTGAAAGAAGACATATATAATAAATGCCGCCAATGTAAACTGAACCAAACGCTTAGCACCTATCTACCCATGGATAACTCAAGAAATATTGATTTTGAACAAAAAAACATATACAGACAAAAAGAGACTTGTAACAATACCGAAAAACATAAAATATTAAAACACCAAATCAAACGGTTTAAATGGCAAAGCCTATAGTTTTAAAATATATATTTTTACATAGTCGTTACATACTAATGTAATACACTTTTTTAGAAAATATGTTTTGATATTAAAAAGGGCCTTACTTGAATTTGTTTTCCACATCTGTTGCAATTGAACATTCATCATTCTTAGGAATACCATTGTGCGATGTTGTAATATGTTTCAATTGCTTTTTGGATGTAAATGATTCTAAATACAAATCGCATTTTTCGTCAGCCAAGTTGTTTGTAACTTGCACGTTCATAGGTATCATTTCTTCATCTTGTATCGACGATTCAAGGCAATAATCTACCACTTCATCGGATTCATTTTTAACATTAATCCCGTTGATCATATCGTTGTCTCTACAAGAAAAAAATAACAAATGTTATAGTTTTTTTTTTTTTTATATAAAAATGAATTATATTTTACGTAATAACACTTTAATGAAACTATAAATATCAACACAATAGTAAATAATTTTACCAAATCAATTATACAAATTGCAAATCTTACAATAGGCAAATCAACCGCCAAAAACATAAAACCCAAAGTACATTGGTGGAACCAGAGCATAAAATCTGCAATTGAAGACAAATATAAGGCATTAAAACAATTCCAACTTTCTAAAACCCAAGAAGACTTCATAGACCTAAAAAAACTCAGAGCAAAAACCAGATACTTAATAAAAACCAGTAAAAAGAAATCATGGGAAAACTTCACAAACAGTATAAATGAAAAATCAGACACAAAAATCGTATGGAACAAATTTCAATCATTAAAAGGACTTAATAGAACCCGCAAAATAAACCTTATAGACACAAACACCGACTCATTAAGTAACGAAGAACTAGTAGCAAACCAATTGGGGGAATATTTCTATCAAAACAGCAGCAATACTAATTACAAAACCCAATTTCAACTACAAACATAAATGTGAAATGGAAACTATCCCAAACAATCTAGACCAAAATCAAATGGACCAAATTCAATTAAACATACCAATCACTATGCAAGAACTCACATACACTCTATCCAAATGTAAAAGCCGAAGCCCCGGCCCCGACAACATACCGTATATTTTTACAGAACTTTGGACCAAATACTTTAAAATTAATGTTAGCAATTTTCAATAGAATCTTCACTGAAGGCTCTTGGCCAATTACATGGAAAAATGGTACAGTCATACTAATTACAAAGCAAGAAAAAGATAAATTTAAGCCTGAAGGATACAGGCCAATAACCCTTTTGAACACCATGTGCAAGATATTGGAAAAAATTGTTAACTACAGATTAATATGGCTACTAGAAAAACATAACTACTTAGCAACGCAACAATGTGGCTTTAGAAAAAAACAAGAGTACAATTGATAATCTGATCCAAATTAATCAGGAAGTAAATCAGACGTTTAAGAAAAAGCAAATAATGGGATTAGTTAACCTCGACATATCTAAGGCCTATGACTCCACATGGAGACATAATATCCTAGTCGAACTTAACCAAATACTATGCAAAGGTAAGACACTTAATCTAATAACCAACATCCTAAAAGACCGCACTTTTGAAGTCAAAGCGAATAATTTCCTTTCTGAAGAACACCTCAGACAACATCAAGCTGATTAACTTTTTAAAATCAACAGACCTCTACTACTCAATATAAACAAAAATATATACTTAAGAAATTAATAATATTATCTCTCCTTACTGTTATCATTAGTAGTAGCATTAATTTTGTAAATACATGTATAAAATATTGTAAATAATTAAATTGTAACTGATGGCCATAGATGCCGGGTTTTTTTTTAAGATCAATAAAAAAAAAAAAAAATAATAATACTTTAAGTTAAGGCGAATAAAAGATCAATTAAAATCTTGTTTTTATTCAATATTTATATATTATTTATAATGTACACATTATGAAATAATGTTATATAGATGTTAAATTTAAAATCGACTTACTCGAAACAATTATCTACTTCATTTTTAATTGTAATTTCATCGATCTTAGAAATACCATTGTGTGATGTTGTAATATGATGTTTCAGTTGCTTTTTGGATGTAAACAATTCTAAACACAAATCGCATTTTTCGTCAGCCAAGTTGTTTGTAACTTGCACGTTCATAGGTATCGTTTCTTGTATCGACGTTTCAAGGCAATAACCTTCCATTTCATCGGATTCGTGTTTAACATTAATCCCGTTGATCATATCGTTATCTCTATGAGTAAAAGAGAAATTTTTTTTTTATACATTAGTTAAGTTAGTGAAGTTAATTTCTAATTTTACTCACAATATAATTATTCTATCAATTACATTTATACAGTGGCGAGGCATGGGTCTTTAGATCGGGGAGACATTGAAAAAAAAATGGTGTTACGTGACTTGACAGGGGAGCTGCGCCCCCTGGACCCCCTGTATATTTTATTTTATCTATACTGTTAAAGATAAATCTTCAAAAACTAATATTTTGAAAATGGTACAACACGACAATCGATACGACGTATCACGACGATAACGGATAACTGATACCGTCTACCAAAACAATAATAATATGAACGGCGGTCGGTGAGACATGTCTCATAGCGCAACGATAAACCCCTGCCGTTTTCCATTTCCCCCTGCATACCGCGCCCGGCAAAAGAGACAACTTTGAAATTGTCTCATTTATTTTTATACTAAATTTGGATGGACCCGGCGGCCGGCAGCGCGACCGCCCGCTGATCCGCGTCCACAACTACTCTATTCTAAGAATACTATTACAAAAAAAATATACTTTTTCATTAAAATTGGTTAAAACATTTTTATACACATAAAATAAAACCCAATTTTTTGTCTGTATTATAAGTGGGTAGACATTGTCTCTTTGTCTCCTATGACGCTTCGCCACTGCATTTACATAGTACTAGATCAAACTAGATAGTTTTTATTTTATTATTCAAGAATATTTCGACCAGAACTTCAGTCTGGAATGTAGTGATGTGAAATTATGACAATTTAAATGAATACAAATTGTTCTAAAAAATGTGTAGTTATTGAAAATTTTTCTCACCCGAGTCCTTTCCCAGCAGATTCACTTTGAGGACTTTTTGGGGCTGTAGAGATCATATTATTATGCGATGGATAATTCAGTCAGTTTGGAAGTTGACCACTTTTCGACACGAGTTGCAATCGAATGGCTGTATTTTGTTCAAACCTATTACCGACTCGAAATTCCAATTTTTATCCGTTTGACGTTTCCCGTGAACAGTTTGACAATTATAAAATCGTTATTAGATTGATATTATATTATGAGGCAATATGGCAATTATATCATCAAATGTTTATAACGTGTTACTAATTCGTCCGGACGTGTTACACCATGCGCACATAATATATTAACTCCTTATTGTTTTCACTATTCATGAATTATGAAAAGCATAAAAATATTGATCGTTTTTTGATTGAGGTACCGACGCCTTTTTAGTTTTCTGTTTTGTTGACGATAACGCCGTTGTCTATCCGAGACTGATAGTGGAGACCACTGTTAACCGCGTTTCAATATTTACCTTCACCGCGTTCTACCTCCAGCCGACCATCGCAGACCGCGGACGCCGCTGTTATCACATTGTTACACAATATCTTTTATCATATTTTAGAAGTACAGAAAAAGTTCTAAAAATCTAAGCATACTGCAGTCTGCACAGACTATACTATTAAAACATTTTCTTATAGGTAGCTGTGCCCCGTGGATTAATAAATGAACTGACCACACGCTCCGTATAGCGTTAAAGACTCTAGCTGGTACAGATTAGACTATTCTATGTTAGTACTCAGTGCACTCTGTATGTACCATTCATCACGAGTCGCACAGTATTTGTTCATAATAAGGTAGTGATAATTTAGTTTTCTTTAAAAGTTGTTGTTCGTTGTGCGTTTACATAATATTATCAAAAAACATTCCAGATCAGTGCTGGTCTTGATAAATATCTTTACAACACATAATTTTCTTTAAACAGAATAATTTAAATATTTGATTAGTTGGTAATAAATAATTGGTCTCTAAAATAAAGAAATAATAATAAGCTAAGGAACTAGTTGTTTTAATAAATATTGTAATACACAAATAAGTACTTTTTAAGGGGAAAAAAAACATCACAATATCATTTCTTTTTATGCATCTGTGTTTATAATAGCTTGTTTTTTTGCAAACGCTATAAAAACTTGTTCAAGGGTTGCATCGCTATGGTATAGTCTTTGACGATCATATGATTTTCTTTGATTGCTTTTATGTGACCGAATATATCGGACAACGGTACTCTCGGATTGGTTATGTGATAATGCAGTAATCATTAAAATAAATATTATATACTAATATTTATTGACAAGTACAAATTTTTTTTACAGTTTTCAACCTTATGTTCATCTTTTAAATGAATTTCTGAAGCAAACTGCCGTTCGATATCTGATTTGAGTTCACTCAAATCGCTATCACTACTATGGATTAGTTTTATTATAACTGTAAATCCTTGACCACAGCGATTCATCAAATGAAAAAAAACTAAAAGCCAAGTCAAATTAAAATGGTAATTTATGAGTAATAAATTCACATGACTTCTTAAAAACAATCCAAATTAATACAGCGTGCTATAATATATATATAAATTCCCAAACAACATAAAAACTCAAATGTATTTAAATTATATTTATAAAAACAGATTTCCTTATTTAACACTATTATATACAAGTTATCTAAAACACAAATGTATGTTATATTTTGATTGGGTAGTATTATCTAGTATGTTTCCATTCATGAGTATAGAGTACAATAGGATTTCAAAAAATATGTTTTTATTTGGTGCTTAATATTGAAGTTCATCGTGAAGTGCGTCTCATACGGTTATAAAGTTTTTTGGTTAATATGATTAGGTTTAGTATGGCCAAGTTTATACAAACCAACCGCGGCCATTTATCACTGATCTTAAATAATTATAAGTTTTGAGTTGGATCGAAAAATAAATCAGATAGTTCAACTCGTTGACGGTGTATAACAAAAGACAGCAAGACAAAAGTTTATACTAAAACTAACATGACAGATATTCGTAATAATCTAAATCACAGTCATCCGCCTTATTAAAAAAATAATTAGTACTGTGTGTAAACGAAAAGCGTTCGAAGATCCTTATAGCAGGCCAAAAAAAATTGATGATTTTACTGTTTTATTTATTTTTAATGTTGTAATTATTATTATTTTATTATTGACGACGATTAAATAAAAAAAACTCGATTGGAATATGTATTCTATTAGTTTTGACAGAAATGTATTTTCTAAAATGATTATGTACAAGTTTATTCTCATAGAAAAGTTATTATCAGAAGTAATAAACATATAATACCTATTCAATTTTTTTATTTTTTTTATTTAAATATGGCTTTGACAACTAGGTCATTAGCCTTTAGTTTACATTTACATTTTTTTAGTACAATATTGAATTTTACAGTTTATTACATAAGTTAATTAATTTTATGAAATTTAAAATGTTTTCTTCGTAGTTTTCATTTAGTGCGTTTTGAATGTTCTTTGGCTGGTTGAGTATGTGACGTTCGTTGTTGTAGTTGTTGGCTTCTATGATGATGTGTTTCATGGAGATTGGTTTATTGCAGGTAGAACATATTGGCTGAGGTTCGTGGTTGAGTAGGTGTGCGTGGGTGAAGTGGCTGTGTCCAATTCGGGTTCTTGTAAGTATCATGTCCTGTCTTCTTGTCAGTGATACGTTTGAAAGCCATTTTTTGGTTGTTGTTTTAATTTCTCTTAGTTTATTACTGGGTGGAGTATCTTTCCATATATTTTGCCATTTTTGGTGAAATCTTTTGGTGATTTTACGTGTAGCGTCATTTGAAGTGATTTATGTGTTGTTTGATATGACAGCTTCATTTCCTTTAATTCCTGTATGTGAGGGAACCCACATATATTTTATGTCTTTGTTTGAGTGTATTAATATGGACTGGATGTTTTGTATTAGTTCATTTTGGGTGAAAGAATTTTGAAAGAATCGCTTAGAATAAGTATTTTGTTGCTTGTCGTAGATTCTGTGAATTTTGTTGCTTCGAGTATTGCATATGCCTCTGCACTAAAGATGCATTATAGGGATCTTGAATTTTATAGTTGAGTGTTTGGTAGTAAATGCAAAGCCAACTCCGTGTTTAGATTTTGAGGCATCTGTGTACATGTGTATGTAGCTATTGAATTTTGTGTTGCAAATGTCTAGAAAGTGTGCGCGAATTGTATTCAATTTTTGTTGAATCAAAAAATATAGTTTACAAATTGTTAACACAACTGATTTCATATAGGTTATTTTAATATTTAAAATAGAAACAATTGATTTTTAATCGAGAAAAATACTAAACGTTATCGGATCTATAAAAAAATCCGTTTTTTGGTAAGCCTTAGCCAAATTAGCCTCTTGTTTTTATTTTTAGATCTCCGCCTGCTCGCTATAATTAAGATGTAAATGACTGTAATTGCTAATGATCAATGAACATAGTAAGTATCATATTGAGAAAATAAAAATTAACCAAGCTAATATTTGACTTGGTTGGGCTATAGCTATATATGAAAAATGTTTGGATCGCCCGATGCACATTGTTGAGGATGTCTTAGTAGAATATAATATTTTATCGCGTCCCACTAATATTTTATCTTCTACTAACCTGGGAGAACTATAATGCCTTTGAATTTGTGCGGTGTTAATTTAACCCTCCGCTTATGAGCTTTTAAAAAATTAGTTCTAAATTAGTCAATAAAATGTAAAAATATTTATCAAATATTTATTTATATGCATGAACGATGTGTAATAACATCATTTTTTAAATATATTAATTGGAATACATAATGTTACAATGTTATTCAATTATATTGTTACAATACACATAATTTTTTACTTATGTACTATATTAATAATTAAATATCAATGATACAAAAATATATAGTAATTTAATTAATAGTAATAATAGTTTTACACAGGGGTTCGGAACTAATTCCGGAACATGTTCTTTTATGACTCCCTGTTGTAATCGTTCCGGAACTCGTTCCTCGAGATATTCATTCCGGAGCAAATACTCGGAACTCGTTCCTTTGATATTTGTTCCGGAACAAATAAAATGTAGTTGTTCCTCGTCATTATTAACAATTTATTAATGGAGCAAAATGTATTTGTTCTACGTATTATGTTGTTTCGTTCGAGTTTATTAAAGGTGCTCATTCTTTTGTTACATTAGCCTTTGTGTGTGGTATTTTAGAAACAATAGGCACATTTATTTAAGTTAAATGTTAATTAATTCAACAAAAGATTATAATGCGTTTGATATAACAATTAATGTTATTTTCAGTATACATAAATGTATATAGAATATATATGATGAGAGTTAACAGAGTTATTATAATAAATTTATACATACTAAGAAAAATGTATGCAACTAATCCATCAAAACCATCAGTCCTTTAACCATGAATTAAACTTGCAAAGTTAAAAAACACTTAATTTATATTAATTTAATATTTTTTTGGCTAATTGTTTATGATTAATTTTCAGTGTATTTTTTTTACACAGCATATACAGGGTGATTCTTTTATTATGAACCACTCAATATCTCATAGGGTTTAATAGGAAATTAAAATTTTTTTTTTTTCATATTGTTGTTATACAATGTGATCTCAATTTTTCAAAAAAATGTTGTTTTTACCCTCCTTCTATTAATAAATTATTAATAATTACATTTTATTTGTTCCGGAACAAATATCAAAGGAACAAGTTCCGGGTATTTGTTCCGGAACGAATATCTCTAGGAACGAGTTCCGAGTATTTGCTCCGGAACGAATATCTCGAGGAACGAGTTCCGGGTATTTGTTCCGAAACATAAAAGAGAAATGAGTCAATAGGAACGAATTCCGAACCCCTGGTTTTACATAATAATAATAATACTAGAGTAAAATTATTTAGAAACCTATTGATTATAATTAATAGCGTGAGACAACAATAAATCCTGTTGAGTAAATTGAAAAAGTCTACAATTAACATTATGTAACAATGTTTACTATACGATATGGAAATTAGGTACATATTTTTTGTCATATTAGTCCGTTATAATACTTGGTATTGGCCGCACAACGTACACAAATAATAATCGTGCATTTTATATAAATATTGTATAATATTATGTTGGTACCCCTTCGGGTGGCTCCGTGTCGTGTTCCCCATCCACCCGAGTTCCTATGCTATATGCAATGAAGTTTCTATGGATGTTTTGAGGTTATGTATCATTTCTATCAACGGCTACCGAATGCTATGTCGTGACAACATTTCCCGATTTACGGCATTTATTTATTTTGCGTTTTAAATTGTTTCTTTGAATT